AATTGTAAATGTGCTGAGGTGAAACTATACTTTCAATAATATTACCACTACAGTCTGTTAACCACCGAAATAATCTATGCTGGTCAGCTAGCTAAAAGTATTTACTTTAGCAGCCGAAATCAGAGGCTAACATTAGCATTTGCTAGCGTCTAAGGCTTAAACTATGGTTAGTGTAACTTTGCCTGAAACCCTTTAAAGTGTACAGTAGAGCCAACTGTAAAACACAGGTATTGATACAGTACTTATTATAGTCCTAGAATAATTTCTAGAACCATGAAGTTCTCACTTCTCCCAGTTATCCACATCGCTGACTTTCACTAATTAGCTAGTTAGCAGTCACAGCTGTGTAATACCCAGAGAGACACAGACAGCTAACTATAATATTTATGAAAACTGGTTCAGCCACTGAAGGGCAAAACTGGTGTTATCACAGTAAAAATTATTTTAACATTAACTAAAATAAAGCTTAAGTCATGTTAAACCTAAATAACAATTATTTTAAAAAATTAGTCAGCAAAATATTCCTGACTTGTCTGGAGACAGCCGAAACCAGTTAACAAATAAATTAACAATTCTTTCTAAATAAAAACGCGGAGTCTTTTGAAAAACATTGTTTTAACAAAAGAAAACATGAGTTTTAATATTTACCACAGAAATTTGAAGGCAGTTTTTCCAACTCCAGAGTCGAAAATCCAGATGAAGCCTGAAAGAAGCCTAATGGCTGCTCTTGTGCTTACTTTTCCCTCCTTTTCGGGTTCTTTTTCCCACAATGCATTGCAGTAGTTGAGAAATACAGAAAAATACCTGTAAATGACTAATACGGAAAATTCCTTCACGTTTATACAGTAGATTGTACTGTATTTTTACGGATTTTTTTTTTACAGTGCATGACTGAGAACCTACACACAAGCAGACTGCTCTTCTAGTCTCTCACATTAGGTGGTCCATCTGAGAATCCAGCTTTTAGATTGAGTTTAAAGACAGACTTGGTCTGAATATTTCTTATTTCACAGTAAATTTAGCTGTTCATTTGCTGGCTGGCTATAAAAATGGGGAATTGTATTCCTGCAGATAAAATTGTTGTTGTTTTTTTTTCTTTTATTGTGTGTCATCAGTTTCCCAACGTGCCTTGGCTTTGGTAGTGGAGGTGAATGAGGGAGAAGGTTCAGTCCCATTGCCCTGTCAGTACTCAGGTTTTATACCTGAGGACAATCCCACGGTGCTGTGGACTCGTGATGATCTGGATCCAAAGTCTGTCCACATACGACGAGAAGGAGGAGACGATCTTAGAGGACAAAACCAGTTTTACAGCGGACGCACATCATTGAAGCCTGATGCTCTCGACTTGTTAGACTTCAGCCTCACTCTGAGAAAACCAACAAAGACTGACAGCGGCAACTACACCTGCTCCATCAGTAATGGGAGAGAAGAACGGAGACTGAAAAACATACAGCTGCAGTTCAAAGGTCAGCAACAAACTCCTCTTTAACTACAAAATGATCAGTATTGTAGACAAAGGTCAGAGGTCAGACTGATTGGTAGAATAAGAACCTCCAGGAAACAGAAAAGCAAACAAAATGTTGAGGCTTAGATTCAAACATTTTACACACTGTAGACACTGTACAGTAAACATGAAGCTCACTAAACCTTTGTGGGGCTCACATGAAACAACACCAGAATAATTTAGATGCTGAGTAGAAAGCTCACCAGTTCTTAATACCTGGTTACATCACCATGGTAACCTACTGGAAGGAAGAACCACCTGTCCTCAGACATCCTGGTGAACTTCTATCGTTGCACCATCGAGAGCATCCTGACCAACTGTATAAAAGTCTGGTACGGGAACTGCTCTGCCTCGGACCGGAAGGCGTTGCAGAGGGTCGTGAAAACTGCCCAGCGCATCGCCGGAGCACCACTTC